GGCTGGTCGCCCTAATATTGTGTTTATATTGAGTACAGATGCTAGAAAATAAATATCTTACAGGGGAACCTCCTGGACCTCCTCATGTGGTTCTTCGTGTCACTTTTTTGGATAACAACTTAATAACATGGCAAACCACGTAACGTGTCCGTCGTAACTCACTGATGAATCGATAAAATGAAAACCTCAAGAGGAAATTATTTAGAAATCTGACAGAAACTCTTACGTAGTTTAGTGGATGTGTTGTTGGATTCCTACACACTTACACACTTTGAACAGCAAAACAAAATAAAAACGTAGACAAACCTGTTAGTTATCGAGTTGTGTTTGCAAAGGTGGCACAAAGTTGTTGGTGAAATGTTTTTATTCCTCTGTTAGGTCGGGCTTGTTAGTTTTACAAATCAGACTTTTTTTTTGTGAAAAGTGATGGTAAATAAATCAATAAATGTTCGATTTTCATCCAACATGATCAGTTCTCACAGGTTTTATTGCACTAGAAGAAAAAAGGGGGCCTCATGGACCCACACTGGGGCCCCTGTGGTTTCCACACCTGGACAACAAAACGAAAGCACAAAGCCATGTGACACGTTTGCACTGTTATTGGCAGTAAATGTTATTGTTCCTGCATGTGTTGATTTATATTGTTCTTATAAGTTCATTTTTAACTGTTTCCAGTAGCTGACTTAATATCAAGTCTTTGACTTGCTTTGAATTAGAGATGTTTCCATGTACGCTGGGTTTGTGGGCCTCACAGCCATCAGTCAGTCAGGAAGTAGTAAGGGTGGAACTTGGTCATGTTATAGCTAGCTGTGATCAATATAAACACAATAGTGTGCATCTTTAATATTAATATGAACGTGAAGGGAGGATGCTTTTAAAACGACTGAATTTTAATCATCAGCTAAATGCAGGAGGAGAAAACTGCTGCTGGACTCTGTGTCTACCAGAGAAGTCAGCTGCTGCTGCGCTTAAAGGAGTATTCAAACCCCTTATAGGGGACCCGACCTCCTCATTATTTCCTCTCACATGTCTACTGTTCCCGAGGTGGATGTGCAGATTGAATACGGCCAAGTCGATGTATGTTCAAGCATTCCCTGTGAGCCAAAAGCTTGGGCTTCAAGCTCCTCTAAGCACTCTGTTTTTACCGTTTTTATGGCTACAATAGATATTTATGATGTAATAGAGACAGGATATTTCTAATATAGTCATCTCACACAGAGCAGTCCCTCCTGCCCCGTGCTGACAACGGACAGCCAATCAGAAGAAAGCCTTAACCCTTTAAGGAGGAGCTAAAATGTTTTGTTTTTTCTAAAACGACTTATTTCAGACAGGCGGTGACTGAGGGACCACACCAAGGCCAC